GGCATATATGGACGTAAGCGCTCTTTCAGGTAACCAGGACCCAAGCCATTTAGGGCTTTATAGGTCATCACCAACACCTTGAATTGGGTCCAGACTTCAATGGGAAGCCAGTGAAGCTGACGGAGAACTGGAGTCATGTGAACATAACGCCCAGTCCCCGTCAGCAGCCTGGGAGCTCTATTTTGAAACAATTGAAGTATCTGGACCGTCTTCAAGGGCAGCCCCACATAGAGCGCATTACAGAAGTCAAGTCGGGAAGTCACCAACGCGTGTGTCACTGTCGCCAGGCAGTCGTTCTCCAGGTAGGGGCGCAGCTGATGGATCAGCCGAAGCTGAAAGAAAGCGCTTCTCGCCACTACTGTCACCTGAGCTTCCAGTGAAAGCTCCGGGTCGAGGAGCACTCCCAAGCTGCGGACCTTGTCCCTAAGAGGGAGTGCAACCCCATTCAGGACTAGGTTCAATTCACCTTTCTCAAAGCCCGATCCACCAACCAACAGGACCTCCGTCTTGTCTGGATTGAGCTTCAGTTTATTGGCCCTCATCCAGCCCATTACCTTGGCCAGGCACCGGTTCAGCACAGCCACTGCCTCACCTGGATTGGTGGAGAATGAGAGAGAGAGCTGGGTATCATCAGCGTACTGATGATTCCACAGTCCACACCTCCTGATGACCTCTCCCAGCGGTTTCATGTAGATGTTAAACAGCAAAGGGGACAAAATGGATCCCTGCAGTACTCCATGGCATAAGTGCCATGGCGCAGAGTCATAGTCCCCCAGCTCCACCTTCTGGAATCAGCCATTGAGATAGGAGCAGAACCACTGCAAAGCAGTGCCTCTGACCCCAAATCCCGCTAGCCTATCCAGAAGGATACCATGGTCGATGGTATCGAAAGCCGCCGAGAGGTCCAGAAGAACCAACAGGGACACACTCCCCCTGTCCTTCTCCCTGCACAGGTCATCGTACAGGGCGACCAAGGCAGATTCAGTACCATACCCGAGTCTGAAGCCGGACTGAAATGGGTCCAGATAATCAGTTTCATCCAAGAATGCTTGGAGTTGTCCCACCACCACCCGCTCCAACACCTTGCCCAGAAATGGGATGTTGGCCACTGGTCTATAGTTAGTGGCCATCTCTGGATCCAGTGACGCTTTCTTCAGGACCGGTCGGACTACCGCCTCCTTTAAAGGGGAAGGTACCCGACCCTCCCTCAGGGAAGTGTTAACCACTTCCAAGATCCAGGTCCCAGTCCCGTGCTTGGCGTTGTTTATTAACCAAGATGGGCAAGGGTCCAATAGGCAAGTGGTGGGACGTACTCGTCCAAGCACCTTGTCCACATCATCAGGCCGCAATAACTGAAATTCATCCATTAATTTTGGACCAGACGGTGACATTGGTATCTCCCCAGAAATTAGATGGATAAATTGTGAAACACAGGATTAAATGCTTTAAAGAGAAGCTGATATATCTTTATAATACAGATAATGATCCATTATAAAATAGGATAGTTGATGAAATGGTAGTAGATACATCCTACTTAATTTTGCTGATTATTTTCCCCAGAGGTACTAATTTCTAAAGCTAATTTATTAGTTAAATGTAGAGCTCCATGGCATGTGCCAAGGGTTCCAGCCCTCTTGGGATAGTGTACTTATCTGAAATTCTGAGAGTTCATTGTGGCATTTACAAGAAGCCTGCCAGGGTGGATGCACCCAGTCACAAAACATCCTTTTCCCAGAGCTGGAATTCTTGAAGCTACAAGAAAAGTAATTTGGCTTTTGGAAAAAAGCAGAGATGGGATTTTGGTCCCAAATTCCAACAAGATACTTCGTAGAGCTGACCCCCCTGCCCCCGATTCTACAAAAAACAAAGTGTTGATACTCAGGGAAATGCATATAAACATTTATATGTTTATAATAATATTTATAGGTAAATATTCTTCAAACACATACATCACGCCCCCCGAGACAAAAACAACAAAAAGCAAACCCATAAGCAAAGCACAGACACCACGCCAAACACATCATGTTTTAAAAAACAGGCAACCCTTCTGATGCTCACATACGCGCATAGCCAAAATGTCCTAGTTGCCCCTCACCATTGCCATATAATTTTGTGTGACACATGTATGTGTACACACACACACACTCTTGTACCAGTGGACAATTTTTTTCCTGGGCATGCTTCAAAACAAAGCACTGGGCTTCAGCTGTCCACTATTTTTATTTTCTAAGAATGGCTCTTGGACTCACATGGGGCTCAAAGGCATTCTTGGAAATAAAGATGGTGTGACACTGGAGCGAAGTATTTTGATTTGTACCAGAGCAGCCTCCCAGTTAATTGTTTTTAAATTGGAAACAACCTAAAAACATTTTTTAAAAGCAGGAGGAGCAGGGAGCCCGCCAAGCACTGGAAGAGGTGTCCATAGGCACATTGGTGCCTGCAAATACCAGCAGAAGATCCTGGGAATGGCGGAAAACAGGACGGATTGTATATACACTTCTTTAGCCACGCAGAGAGAGCTGCTCTTCCGCACCCTGAGAGCTGGTTCAGTGTACTGGTCGAGTGTGGGAATGGAGACAAGTGATCTAGGTGCAAGGCCCCACTCGGCCATGGTGACTTTAGGCCAGTGGCTTGGAGCCAGTCACAGGCTTTCAGCCCAACCTCCCCTACAGGTGGCTCTTGTGAGCATGATTGAAATACTGGACAGAGAGTGAGCTTTTTAACTCTTCTATAGGAAAAATACTCATTGCTTTTTTTCTCCTGTGGGGAAAAGGTATGGATTAGGTATGGCTTTAGGTATGAAGGGATGGCTCCAGCTAGGGGTAGTACAGAAATGAAATAACAATGAATAACAATATGGGTAGCCTATATTTTCGCTTCAAGAGGCATCCTGGGTCTCAGAAAAGTTGTGACAACTGAAGAAAAATAGAGAATGGCGTATCAGAGGAAGTAGGTAATGTCAGGGAAAGCATGAGAGTGGAATGGACGTGAGAGTGATGGAGCAATAAGTGTTCCAAGGCCCAGGACAAATGAGGAGGGAGTATAGGATCTAAGGGTGCAGGGATGTACACCCTTACGGTGGAAACGTAAGACAGTAGAAGGTGAAGGCCAGACTAGATGTCAGGTCAATCACAGGAATGATGCTTGCATACTTGCTCCCCCTTTATTAAATAGGAGCTCTGGGAAGTGCGAAGAAGACATGGGGATGATGGCATATAGAGAAGGACAGAAAGGTTAAAGCTTCTCAGCCCATGCCATGGTTCCATGTTTATCCCCTCTCCTCCCCTTGCAGCAGCTAATTCATTAAGAAAAAACAAACTTGCAAGGTCAGTCGCCTGCAAAACGTGATTTGTCATGAGAGGATAGGGAATGAAGTGCTAGAAGCAATGGGCCACACGGAAGAAATGGGAAGAAGGTGGTCAAGATACTGGGGGAAGTAAGAGGAAGGAAGAAAGGAGAGAACAGGAAAGGGGATGATAAGAAGGATAAGAGGCATGTGGTGTTAAAAGTGCTAGAAAAGAAGTATAGGTTAAAAGAGGGCAATGAGGAGATGGAAGGATCTGTCAGGGCCTAGAGTTGGAACTGCATAAACTCTAACTTTGATGGACTTAAATGGAAGTGCCATCAGGACTCAGGGTTGTGTTCATGCTTCCACATCCAATAAGGTTTTAAATACTCCATCTGGGAAGTTCAAATGTGCCTCATGCAGTCCTGAAGTTATTCTGTACCAACTAGCTGAGTTCAAAGTGGCATTGCTAACCAAGGAGGCTAATCTTACTGGACTTCCATTTGCCCTATTCTAAGGTACAAATCCTATTTAAATTTCCCAAAACTTAGATAATGGTTACTGGTAAGTGATACACTGAAAATAACGTGAATAAAAAAACCTTGTGTCATAAATTTCTGTTCTATTCTGTTCTCTGTATTTTTACCATTGGGCCTACAAAGCCATGGAACATGTGTTGGAACAAGACCAGTAGTATGAAAATGCGTGAGCTATTGTGCACATTTACTGTTGTTCTGTTCTGGTTCACACAGGTGTTTGCTTGGGGATGCAACTGGCAGTAGTAGAGTTTGCAAGGAACTGTCTAAAATGGCAAGGTAAATTGCTTCCTTCTTTGGAAAAGTTTCATTTAAAGTCTATGATGAAATCTTGACTAGGCTCCAAGAACAGTGGCATCAATGTCATTATGCTAATACTCTTTTTACCCTTTTCTTAGCTTTTTCCAAATCAAAGAGAGGGCAGATCTATAGAAATGGCTTGATGCCATTTACTTGTATTAGCTTTGCACTTTATCCTCACATACCAGGTAAGAAGGAAGTTGAGAAGGAATGGCTTGGAGCTACTATCACATGCACTAAGATCCTCTTGTACAATGGGACTTAGTCCTTTCCTTCCACTGCAACCCACTATGCATGCCCAAAATTTGCTCTGGAAGTTTTTGCCAGGGCAGATTTGAGGGGTCGGTGCATTTGGGATTGCAGGGAAAGAAGAAATCTGTTCTTCTGGTGGTCTCCCTTCAACTGGTAGAGTAACACCACTAGATATAACCAATAAAAATTTAAAAGTATGCAAATTTGTGGATGCTCTGTGCCACCTTCATCCCTTCAGTTAAGATAGCTGTAGCGAAAGCCTGTTCTTGACAATCCTAAAACATATTATTTGGATTATATTATTATGTTGAATTGTCTGACTTTAATTTCAATTAGTGTCATGTAGGCCAATCCTTGTGCATAATTGGAGCATACTAACAAGTAAAAGTGCCTATGAGAAATGTTCTAATTCTTGACAGTACAGTGTGTATTTGCTTAATTTTAAAATATATTTTTTAATTTATAAAGATTATGGATATAGAGTAATTAAACTATATGACTGTTTGACTAACATTTTAAAATCCTGTTCTGCAGATGCAAATTCTACAGAATTTGATTCAAAGACAAAGAATCCTGTTGTAAGTATGAATTCTCCCCTTTTTAACAGTTTTTGCTAATGCTTAAAGTGGGCTTGTCCTAATTAATGAATAAAATTACTCACAACTGACTTGTTCTAATGATTTCAGTGGGTCTACTCTAAGCACAATTGTCAGTCCATGTGCTCTTGAATGCCTAAGATTTTGATACTAATTGTTGTGACAATCTATGTCACTGAAGGGTTGACATACCTCAAGATTCAAATAAACTAATGCAGATTTATTAATATGCTGGTTTGTATGTTCTGATGCCATGTTCTGATGCCAAAACTTGATGTTAGTACTTTGATGATCCTCCGTCTCAATGAGATTTTCTGTTAGAGGTATTTAATAGAATGTCACTACTGCAACTGGTTGATCAGAAAGTAATGAGCTTATAGATAGAATTTATAGTTCAAATAGAAATTAACATAACATTTGCGAATTACTGAGTGTATGTATGTGTATCCTTGAGGCAAGTCATTGCAAATGAAGGTGCAGGTTTGAACAGGACCCTGCAATGTAGGAAACTGAAAATAATTGCTCTGTGGACTGGTATTTATATTCAGTCTCACCAGTACAGAGGCATTATAGTTCCTGCCAGTCCTGGGGGTGATGTTGTATTTCACCATTCCTTTCTGTGCTTGCAAAAGGCCTGGACACATGCAGTTCCTACAAGCCTACTCAGGTCATAGGGTCCAGATTCAAAAGGATAGTTTGTGGCTCAGATAAAAGTACTTCCAGAGAGGTGGCGCCTAGCAATGTCAAACAGAAGGAAAAGTGTAGCTATTTCATCTTATTTTCCTTAATGGATTTTTGGTGGCAAGAAAAGAAGAAGAGTCAACAGAAGTGCTGTGGGTATTGTTGTCTGGACCTTCCCTCCAGCCATTAGGATTTTTTGCAGTAGGATAAATAGTGTCACTATTTTAGATTTATTCTTAAAACAACTACGGTGTTTGCTTTACCAGTTACAAATGCATGCTTTTAAACCAAAGTAGATATTTATTCAATTATATTTATCTTTTTTCAATGATTAAATTTTGTTTTAGAGAGCTTCTTTGTAGAAGTGAAAACATTTTAATTGTCCATAATACAGTGGTTGTGGGTTCTCACGTATTTTCTCTGCTATCGCCGTCTTCTTGGAACATATTAGGATCCCAAACCAGATAATCCAGACAAACCAGATAATCCAGACAAACCACTTATTGTGCTCAGCAGTGCCTTAAAATCATTAAAGTTGATTTTTCCATCTTTATCGATGTCCGCATATTTAGCAACATCACTGAGAGTAAGTGAACCCTGTATGTTTTTGGGGGGCAAGGAATTGTGCAAGGGGGTGGGAATAATGGAAAGCAAAACACAATAGTTTGTTTAGACAGTTTCACAGAGAAATATATTCTCAAACACATGCTTAGCTTCAGTTATGCCATTGGAAAATAAATATAGTTCATTATTAACTTTCAGTTGAATTTGTTCCTGGTACAAAGGGTCAGTCTTTTCACATCTGTGGTCATACTGCAAACTACAATCTGTATCAATTTTTTTTATAATGGATGCATATTTTTAAAGAAATGTTTTACCAAGCAAAGCTTTAGCTGTTTCCACCTTTCACAGTCTTAGTACAGCATTTGAGCTGGAAGAAGATTCCTTACCTTTTTCTAAGAACTGGGTATTTGTTTCACCTGATATGAAAAAGTGTCCCTGTACTATCCTTTGTTGAGAGAACATTTTCAGTGGTGAATGGGGATGGTGATGTAGCTGAAAGTTGGTAGAAAGCTACTGCAACTCACATTTAGTTCTCCCCCTTAGTCCATGTTTGATGCTATATAAAAGCCAATTCCAAAAGTCACATTACACTCTTAATATCTAATGATGTAACTTGGAAAGGGGCATGCATATGAAGATGTGGGGCAGATAAAATTGGTTGAGTTCTTAATGGTTTCCAATGAAGGTGCTCATTGTGTGCAACTATTTATTATTTCTGTAGCCATTTTTAAGTATTCAAAAGGACTATAACAAACCTTCAAAGTATGTTAAGCTGAAAGAACAATAACATGCTCACTTAAATGGATATCTGAACCTGGGTCTCTCCCTTGTTCAAACCAAGCACATATCTCCTCAGTTTGCACTCATCTTAACAGCTAATTTTTCAGATATAGTTACCACTTGAAATGAATTTATGCTGTTAAATAAATTGGTTTAAATTCATCGTATTAATGACTGTGATGTCATAATTTCTTTAAAATGTCTTTTACAAATTATCTGTATGGTCAGACTGCCCAAATCTAAGAAAATTATAATTTCAATTCCATTTCTAGAACTAAAATTTGTTCCACTCTAAAATAAATATATGTATTAAATGCACACTTTCTCCATCTTGCACAGAGAATACTACACTAGATTATATTTATTCGGAAGACACGATGACTTTCTGACCTTGTTCTAAAGAGAAACACTTTACTGCATATACCCATGTGTACCCTAGCGGTGTGAACTTGCTTCACCAGTACCAATTATCTTTCCATTGCTTACCAGTGCATGTTACTACTGAAAACTTTGGGAACTGACTTTATAGATTTCTTCTAGCCACTGGAGCACATCTTACCATCTCAAAATCTTTGAGTACCATTAATTTCAATAAAATGGAGGGGCAGTCCAATGCCCCTTGAGCAGATGTTTGCTAACCTTAACCCTAACCCCCTGCCCCACATTGTCTTTAGAGGATCTCCTACTCCTCTGAACCATATTCTCAGGGTAAATGGGGGGAATTGCTCCATTCTGCAATAGGAATCCGTTTTGGAAGCAGGAGGACTTCACTGGATACCACCAAGAATATTAAAACTAAAACAAGCAGAATTATAAACCCTCAACTGAAAATCCTATAAAAGCCCACACAGTGTTTTTTTCAAGTCTAGCTTAGTTTAAACTCACAATAGAAGGGAATTCCATAAGAGGGGAAATGCCAGAGAAAAGAGACCCTTACATTCAACATTCTCACTAATGTTAGATGGTTTTTATAATGACTATTTGGAGAAATGACAATTTGCTAACATAAGAAAAGCATGACACCATGCTTTGACCATGGAAAAACCTAAGAAGGGGAAAGTCTGAGGATTCACTATACCCAAGAGGATTCTTAGTCCTAGCCCTGCCCTTAGCAGTGGACAGCAGCTGGATGAGTTTAGGGGAATAGCTCGGAGAATATTTTGTAAAGGATGATAACAAGGTTGTACAAGGACACTAGAGAGTCCCATGGGGCTAGGGATACAAGTTTAATAAAGAAATAGAAGCATGTGCCATTCACCCTAGCCTGCCTGTCTTGTTTGCGTAGAGCAATGGATGGGTGGTGGGCTAACAACCACAGGATTGCACCCTTGTTGGATTGTGTCCCCACATTGTCCTCTAGCTCTTCAGACCCAGACTAGGGAATGCCCTTGGCACTTTGGCAGAAGATATAATTGGTTCATCTAATTAGATTTCTTCAGATTCTTTATTGCAGTATTTTATAGAAATAGATGTCTATCTGAAAGGGTTTAGAGGATTACAAAAAATATTGTTTTTCTTTGTCTCTAATTGAAAGGGTAATTTTGGAAATACTTACCAATAACTTTGAGAAGTGATTCTGAAGCAGACTCATAACTCCATTAGTGGAAAGCAAAGTAGAACTACCCTCTTTCAAAGCATAATCTGTGAACAGTTTTAAAAGTTCTTCGCTGCCAAAGTTTTCCATAGTTTTGTATATTTAAAAGCTGCAAAAGAAAATCCAAAATTAATTTGGATTTAATCTATTTTGATGTTTATAGGGAAAATACATTGATTTCTTCTGAGACAACTTCATGTATAAAGAAAAAACAATTGGTTACATATGACAATTATGATGAAAATGTTTATTGTAAATTCCTGATTCTGTTCATACAAAAAATAATTACAAGCTAAATGGCATTATATATGAATCTCTAATATATATGAAGTTACAATATTTTTTCCTAGGAAAACTACAATTTTTTACTGAACTATTTTTTCCTGGAAAAAAAGTTAAAATACTGTTTCTGTATACAGCATGGTTCAATTCACTTTAATAATACAATCCTATGCATGCCTACTTAGAAGTAACTCCCATTATGTTCAGTGGAGCTTACTTCTAGGTCAGTGGGTATAGGATTGCAGCCAAAATGTATTACATTCAAACAGGCTGAAAATATACAATTCATATTTACCTGATGCTGCAGCCTCAAATGCTTTTCAAATGCAGTATGAGATGCTTTAGACTGAAACACCCTTTATAAAGTATTACCTTCTCTTACTCCACCCTGATGAGGAAAGTTGCCTTTTGTTAAAGTAACTTGCTGGCAGCTGTTAACATGTTGGTATTTCAACAGTCTTTTGTTTTTTTAAAGAACAACAACCAACCCCTCCCTCCCCCCAAAAAAGGAAAAAACCCATTGTATTCACCCTGCTGCCCATGTATCTGGTTGAAGTTTGATCTTTTCCAGATATGATTTTGTGGAAAGGTCAGTATTGCTGACATTTTCTTATCTTATCAGCTTCTCACACTTTGGCAAATCTATAAACCATCTAAGTGAATCACAACAGAATGATTTGCACTTGTGCTCCAAATATCTGTGATGTCAATAGAAAATGCCAAATTTTTACACATAGCATGACTGTATTCAAGAAGGCATTATGGAGCCCAGCCTGAATTTTGGGCTTGAATATGTCTAAACTTGAATATGTCCCTTGAATGTGTCTAAACTTTATAGAGATTGTTAAAATATTGTAAGGATGAGACATTTTTGCATTTGGATTAGTGTGTAAACAATAAAGCTTTCAGTCAGAATTTGCCTTTTTAGATTGCAGGTGATAAATAAGAGAACAAGAAATGTACATTGCCCAGAGAGCCCTAGCACTGCTATAGGCACAATCTATAAATTTAATGTATACAACTCACTAGCAGGAAGAAGAAGGAATACCTTGATGTTTCACAAGGTGCTTATAAACTATCT